CCCTAGGATCCAGGCCCTGAGCATCATGATCACATTGAAAGATTATGTTTCGTTGTGTTTTGTGCTGTACGTAAGTCAAAACTAATTCAGTAGAACGGTTTTTTTTTTCATCTATCAAGACATCAATAATGAATGGAGTTAATCAAGACTTATCAGATCGAGTTCTTTTGTCCAGAGTCAGAGGTAAGAAGAAAATAACCGTAAATAAGTGGCGTTTTATTTTGTTCTTTGTCGTCGTAACTTTTCTTTATAGTTCGTTTCTGTTGGAAGAAAGTGTTTTTCTCGAGGAGAAGCCAGGTGACTCGGTGGCAAAGTGTAATATGTGGACACTCTAAGGACACTCTCAGTAGTTGTGTGTGTGTGTGTGCTAATCTGTCAGATTAATCCAGGCAGGATTAGCTTCTCGAAGCTTTACAGTCGGATTAAGCGTCAATCCGCAGCTGTATATGATAAGTTATTTTGTAGTTCTGGGTTGTACAGTTCTCTCACGTTCATATTGATAATCAATTTATTTAATACATTCAAGTCCATCGGTTCTTTTTTTAAATCGTAAAGGAGATATAATGACAACAACACAGGTCCAATAAATTTTGTGACGTCGTATTATCCTTTTGTTACATCCACCAGATGTCGTAATGTCATATTGTAGTGTTTTTACACCGTTCAGATGACATGATGTCATATTTTAGTGTTTTTACATCTTCTAAATGTCGTGATGCCATACTGTAGTGTTTTACCTCCTCCCCCTCTAAATGTCGTAATGTCATATTGTAGTTCTAGGATCCTGGCCCTGAGCATCATGATCACATTGAAAGATTATGTTTCGTTGTGTTTTGAGCTGTACGTAAGTCAAAACTAATTGAGCAGAACGGTTTTTTTTTGTCATCTATCAAGACATCAATAATGAATGGAGCGTAGGTGTTTTTATGTTTTCACGAATGTGTAGCTTTGATGTAAAAAAAAAACAAATGTAGCAAAATAAGAAAAACAAAATAAAATAAGGATGATAGAATGTCAAGAGATGTTACTAGAATGTAATGAAATATTAAAAATTGTATATCTTACAAAAATAATCATGTAAAAAACCTTTGGCCGAAACTGTGCTAGGAAAGTTTACAGCGCTCCCCTCCCTCTCTAATCGTGCCATCGCTTCGTTTTCCGTAATATGATTTTACTACTTAAATGTTGGAAGAAGGGGGGGGGGGGTTGCCAAGCACATAGGAACGATTTTGGTGTTGAAACTTTCCCTACATTTCCACGTGCTTTACAAGTAAGAGCAACAAGATAAGGATTTGTTTTGTTTTTCGCGCAAAGCTACACGAGGGCTATCTGCGCTGGCTGTCCCTAATTTAGCAGTATAAGAGCAGCTAGTCATCACCACCCACCGCCAACTCTTGGGCTACTCTTTTACCAACGAATAGTGGGATTGACCTATCACATTATAACGCCCCCACGGCTGAATTACGAGTCGAACACCCTAACCACCTGGCCATGCGGGGCCTTAAATAAGACCTGGAAGAATTATTATTAGATGATGCGGTACGTTGATTTAAATCTTTCCTGTTGATTTAAGCACTTCTTTACTAATCACCACGTGAAACAATTCTACAACGTGATAACGAAAAGCAAAATAATAATCCTAAAGCTGACAAAATTGCATTTGTGAACTGTTCAACAAGAGCTTGTGTAAGTTGTAGTGACCTTAAAATTGATCTCTAAATAACCTTACGTTTGTCTTACGTAAATAAACACCACTTCTGTATGATCTCTCCAGACTTCCAGGAACATCGCTGTTAAACAGATGTTTGTTTTAGAACAAAGCTACACAATGGGATGTCCGTCTACAGCTGTCCCTAATTTAAAACAGACAGACTAGAGGCAAGGCAGCTGGTAAATAACATCCATTGCCAATTTTTAGACTACTTCAATCGAGTACTGGGATCTGTCCGTCACTACTATAGCGCGTTCTTGCGGCAACGGGCCCCAAACCATGGACCCTCGGATTAACTGTCCGAACACACAAAGCAATAGACCACACTCAACCAACACGGGTGGAAACTAGAAACGTTTTATGTATTGACAGTTACTTCCACTGATCTCCAGATACTATCGTTGTTTTATGTTTTGTTTAACTGATCATTTAAACAAATTTGTCTTATTTGTAGACATTATTTATTTATTGAAATCACCTAAGAAACCACATCGGTAGAGGCTGGAGAAGGCCTAGTTAATTGAATTGTTGGGTGGTTGGATGAAAGCAAATGTTTGTTACTGATGGAGTCCAATCAGGGATCAGTTATTGGTTCAGACTCGAATCAGACTTGACCCTTGTTCCAGGTGGAGTGCCTCAGGGATCAGTTGTTGGTTCAGACTCGAATCAGACTTGACCCTTGTTCCAGGTGGAGTGCCTCAGGGATCAGTTATTGGTTCAGACTCGAATCAGACTTGACCCTTGTTCCAGGTGGAGTGTCCCAGGGATCAGTGATTTATTCAGAGTCCAATCAGACTTGACCCTTGTTTCAGGTGTAGTGTCCCAGGGATCAGTGATTGGTTCAGAGTCCAATCAGACTTGACTCTTGTTCCGGGTGGAGTGTCCCAGGAATCAGTGATTGGTTCAGAGTCCAATCAGACTTGACCTTTGTTTCAGGTGGAGCGTCCCAGGGATCAGTGATTTATTCAGAGTCCAATCAGACTTGACTAGTATTGTAGAATGACTTGAATCGAGTTATAAGTTGGACAAATATTTGTCAAATGACCTTTAATTATATAAGTTCAAGGTAATAGCTTTGGGTTATCATAATATGGATCACACACCTAACAAAGTGAACCTCGCATGACCTGATTGCTAGGACACCTGCGGGTCACGTTTCCGAATCTCCTCACCGAACATGCTCGCCCTTTCAGCCGTTATAAGATGACGGTCAGTCCCACTATTTGCTGGTAAAAGAGTAAACCAAGAGTTGGCGGTGAGTGGTGTTCATTAGCTGCCTTCCCTCTACTCTATCAATTGTAAATTAGGGACGGTTAACGCACATAGCCCTCAAACTTAACACAGATGAGAACCAACCCAATAGTCTGAAGGAAATGATCATGTTATAATGGTGGATAATTCGAAACACAGCCCTGGTATTAGCAATGAAGTTAACAGAATTTTAGGCTGTATTTAAAGATATTTATTACGAGTGAAAACAGGTAATTATCAACTAAATACAAATCAATAAGTAGGCCTCACTTGAAGTTTTGGTCTCCTTATGAAACAATATTGACGGATTGGAAAAGGTTTCATGGAAGGGCTACCAGAATAAAGCCAGAGATGGAATGATTAGTTTACAGGGATAAGTTCAGATACATTGTTTTCTCTTGAGACAGGAAGAGTAAGACGTGATCTTATTGGAGTTTGTAAGATTACAGGTGGAATGAATACGATATAAAGGCACCTGGGTTTTTACGCTGTATTCCGAAGACAACAGGACGAGAGGACAGAATTTTGATATTTCGAATCTTTAGGCTAGACTCCAGTTAAGACAGAACTCGTTGCCGTCAGCAGCTTTAAAGCTGTTCACAGACACATTTTCTATCAACATTTCGCCAATATGAGCTTTAAAGCTGTTCACAGACACGTAGTGGTGGTCGAAACATTACAAGAGTTTCAGAGAGAAAGATGTAGTTTTTTTTTCACTTTTCTCAAGGGTTGGTGGGTGTGCAAGGATAGCCTTGAAAGACCACGTGGTCGCGAGTTGTCCATATGTTATTATATGCTAATTTTACCACCGTGCGACCACACGTGGCCTTGTCCAGATAAGCTTCTGACAGTGGTCAAACAGTGGAATTTCTCTTTACAGTGTTTAGAGTTGATGTTGAAGTTAGATTTAAGGTTCGGCTTTCAAGAGGAACTTCTTCCTAAAAGAAGAAATATTAAATGTTATACGTTGTTCAAACAATAATAATTTATATATATAATTCTTTACAACCAAATGTCTACCCAAGTAGGGTTGAAGTGTTCAGTTCAAATGTGGGGAGGGGGTATAGTTGTGGTCATCTTGATGAATTATGACGTTATGGGGAGGAGGTATAGTTATGGTCATCTTGATTGAATTATGACATTATGGGGAGGGGTATAGTTATGGTCATCTTGATGAATTATGACATTATGGGGAGGTGGTATAGTTGTGGTCATCTTGATGAATTATGACATTATGGGGAGGGGGTATAGTTGTGATCATCTTGATGAATTATGACGTTATGGGGAGGGGGTATAGTTGTGGTCATCTTGATGAATTATGACATTATGGGGAGGGGGTATAGTTGTAGTCATCTTGATGAATTATGACATTATGGGGAGGGGTATAGTTGTGGTCATCTTGATGAATTATGACATTATGGGGAGGGGTATAGTTGTGGTCATCTTGATGAATTATAACATTATTGGGAGGGGTATAGTTGTGGTCATCTTCATAAATTATGACGTTATATTTTTAAACGTTTACTAAAGCGGTACAAAAAATAAATTAAATATCAAGTCTTTGTCCAAACAAAAAATACAGGTTGTTAATTGACAATCAAGTAAGGTCCATCAAGTGAAACTTGGTAAGTTTTTGGTTTACAACACAGGACCAGCCTCAGTTCAGTTTGTTATATTTAAAATGTTATTCAGGCGCGGACTGGTCCACCGGTGGACTTCCTTGAAAAAGTGTGTAATAAAATACATCAATGTTCTGTCAGCACAATAATTATTTGTTAATTGTAATCACATTAACATTTATAATAACCTGTGTTATTTCTACCAATCATGGTGTTCGTTGAAAAGGATTTACTTGACAATATATCTGTCGAAGAGTTACCTCCTATCTTATAATTTGCTTTGTTTGAAGTTAAGCACAAAGCTACACAATGGGCTATCTGTGCTCTGCCCACCACGGGTATCGAAACCCGGTTTCTAGCGTTGTAAGTCCGCAAACATACCGCTGTGCCACTGGGGGGCACCTATCTTATAAAGAACTCCTCAATGGTTTCAGAATGACTGACCATGTGAACTTTGTTTGACCAGTGTTTCTAGATTAAATTACATATACTATTAAGTACGTATTTTGGTTATTCTTTATGACAAATTTGTGCCCTCCAACTTTTTTCCGGTAGTTAATTTTAGACGTCCATTGTATAATGATGAAGTTATTTTGAGATTTTTTTCTTATCTCAGTGTAATGGCCTGGTGATTAGAGTGCTCATCTAGCAATCCGTGTCACCAAACATGCTCGCCCTTTCAGTCGTGGGGGCTTTATAATGTAACGATCAATCCCACTATTCGTTGGTAAAACAGTAGCCCATGAGTTGGCGGTGGGTGGTGATGACTAGCGGCCTTCCCTCTAGTCTTTCACTGCTAATTTAGGGACGCCTAGCGCAGATAGCCATCGTGTAGCTTTGCGCGAAAACAAACCAAACCTTGGCTTCATCCTTATATCCCGCTTGCTAAGTACCTGCTGAAACAGGACCGATACAAAACATGCGCACGTGGACCTGGCTTTGTCGAAGATAGCGTTTCGATAATATTCATTGTAACTGACGTTTTGTATTAACGATGTAATATGCCTGACGATTCTAACGACCCAAGAAAACTGCTCGTTATTCAAATTCTATCCTTACGTGTGAGAAAACAATACATACATGTTCCACAGTTAGATAAACTGCCCTGTTGTTTCTAAAGCTGAGACTGAACTGTTCAATATTGAGTTTTTATTGTGATAAGAACAAATACATTAAGTCACAATTCAATCTGTACAACGAAAACTTTAGCCGCCCGATAAATTTTAACAGAATTTAAAGCACAGTCTTACAAACGTGTACTTATTAACTCGGTAAAACTGTTGAACGAACTTCCTCTGTCAACGTTAAACAGTTCTTCAACACATCATCGTTCATCTATCAATGTAGTTTAAGTTCTAAAAATATAAATGAACGTCATTAGTGTCGTATGTCCACTTGGACGAACTAGACAGCTAGCTATCACGCGCCTGCGCAGGATGGGCGTTTTTGTTTTCACGAATGTATAGCTTTGATGTTAAAAAAAATGTAGCAAAATAAGAAAAACAAAAGAATATAGGGATGAGGATAATGTGTTACATTTTATATTAGAATGTCAAGAGATGTTACTAGAATGTAATGCAATATTAAACATTTAATTACGAGTTTACTGACTCTTCCTAAATTTACTGATGGTTGGCAGAGATGGGGCCGTCTTAAACAACTAAAACCTAGGATCCAGGCCCTGAGCATCATGATCACATTGAAAGATTATGTTTCGTTGTGTTTTGA